ACTCAACAAGAGCGAGCTGCGCCGGGGTCCCGGCCAGGCTTGCACGCAGAAGCCGGCGGCAGACGGTGCCCAGCGGAATCTCCTGAGTCCCACCGCCCAGCTCCGGTGCCAGCGCCCAGTGGCCGCCGCTTCGAAAGTGATTGGTGCCTCGCCGCCTCCTCTCGGTGCGGGACCATGAAGCTGCTGCCGTCGGTGGTGCTGAAGCTCCTTCTGGCTGCAGGTAAGAGGGCTGCGACGCCCCTGGAGATCGGGGGGATGGGGGCGCTGTGCTGGGGGCATGGGGGAAGGTCGCCGCAGCGCACCCGGCACGGGCCACTTGGTGGGGCCCTTGCGCTCTGGCGGACCGGCGTCGGCATCGGTGCGTGTTGGTCGGGGGTCTGGGCGGGTGTCTGATGCGGCCTGGCCCCTCGCTCACAGTTCTTTCGGCACTGGTGACTGGCGAGAGCCTGGAGCAGCTTCGGAGAGGGCTAGCTGCTGGAACCAGCAACCTGGACCCTTCCACTGGATCCACGGACCAGCTGCTACGCCTAGGAGGCGGCCGGGATCGGAAAGTCCGTGACTTGCAAGAGGCAGATCTGGACCTTTTGAGAGGTGGGTGTGGAGGCCGCCCATCCTCGGACCCGGGTGGGTTGTTGAAGAATAAGCAGATCCAAGATTCTTGCTGTTTGGGCAATACTGCGGGTTGAGAGTATTCATGGAGAACCTCGGGGAAAAGCTGATCGGCCTGAAGGGCACTGGGGGATCCTGGAATATAGGATCCCCTGTTGTCATTGCCTCCCCTGCTGGGTTGCCGCCCTTCTGGGTACTTTGGGGCAAACTGAAACAGGCAAGTTGTCTGGGGTCCTTACGTGCTTCTTAGGTAAGCTGAGTGATAGGAACAAGGAATGGTTGAGATGCTTTCCCTAGAGCTACTATGTAAAAATGGGCGCCAGTTCTAATTCCCTCATCAAATGACTATTGTATATAAAATAGAGGTAACAGATGCGGAGATGCCCAGACACTTCTATAGAAAGTGTGCAGTGTTAGCCTCCTCCATCCACCTGTCTCCAGTTTGGGGAAACAGAGAGGAATGAGGAGCTCTTGGCTGCCCTAGGTGAGGCTGTGAATGGTGAACGCTGGGCCTCTAGGGGGCTGTATTAAAATGCTGGGTATCTCTGAATGCTACCGGAAACCTGCAGGCTTACTGAGCACCTTGCTTTCCTGAGGCGACTCCAAATGGGGAGGGCTGTGTAGAATCCTCCAACCAGCCTCTTTGGCTGTAGCCAAGCACAGGCACAGGGCAGAGTCCAGAGCCTGCCAGCTCTCCTGCCTCCAGACCTGAGGAGATTATCCAGGGTAGAGCAAGGACTCAGCACTGTACCCCGGAATGACTATATTTGGTTGGACAGATGCCCACCTGTTCTAGCTCAACCTGCTCCCCAGCTGCCCTTCTCCCTCCTTCCCAGGAGCTTCCCTTGGGTATTCTCTCTACTTTGTATAAATCAAACACATGCTCCAAAACTGAGCCTAGGCTCCCATACTTCATCCTCTCCCAGCGGCCCTCTGGGGTTGCCCATGGCCTGAACAGCCTGGATTCTCCTGGCCCTCTCCTCCTAGGCTGGGCAGGGCTGGGCTGTGACTCACCCCACCCCCACCCCCCACCCACATGGCTGCTCCTCATACCTCTGCAGACCTGACTCACTGCTCCCTGTCCATGGCTGGAGCCTGGCTGTCACCCTGCACCTTCTCCCTCCCCTTTCTGATTGGCTTGGCCCCCCTGCCTTACTCTCCCCGAAGCTCTGGTCACTGGGTTCCTCTGACCACCTATATCGTCTTCTGAGCTCTGAGGGGGCGTGGGACTGGATGAGAGGAAATGAAGGACTGTGGGGCTGCTGGCACCTACTTCTCTTTCTTTCCTTCTCTTGGCTTTACAGGGCAAAGACTACTTTTCAGGTCTGGGGATCCTACCACCTAAAATAAATGACTGCTACCATTTATTAAATTCCTACTGTGTTCTACGCACTTGATATGTTATCCTGGCTAATGTAACACTTATTGCAACCTTTTGAGATAGTTACTCTTGCTATCCACATTTTACTGAGAACCTGAGGTTCAGAGAGGTTAAGTGACTTGCCCACGGTCATATAACTGAAATTGGAGCACAGATCTATGGACTTCAGAGCCCATTCATGCCTGGATCAGCATCTCAGGTGCTCCAGACTTGTGAGAGGGAGGAGATGGGGGTGTGTGAAGCAGCTTGGTGTGGTGAGGAAGGACATTGGAGGAAGTCCAGAGACCACAGTTCTAATCCCAATCCTGCATAACATTGAGTAAGTCACTCTGCCTGCCATGATTTTTTTTTTTTGGAAACATAGTCTCACTCTGTCACCCAGGCTGGAATTCTATGGCATGATCTCAGCTCACTGCAATCTCTGCCTCCCGGGTTCAAGTGATTCTCCTGCCTCAGCCTCCCGAGTAGCTGCGATTACAGGCACACACTACCATGCCCAGCTAATTTTTGTATTTTTAGTAGAGATGAGATTTTGCCATGTTGGCAAGGCTGATCTCGAACTCCTGACCTCAGGTGATCCACCACCTCAGCCTCCCAAAGTGTTGGGATTACAGGCGTGAGCCACCGTTCCTGGCCACATGGTATTCTTTGAAGGCCCTCTAGCTTGAAACTCTAAGTCTCTAGTCTAATGTGTCATGCTCACCCTTCTGCTAGACACATGGCTGTAGCCATGGATATGGGCACCTTTTTCCTGATGAGGGATAAGAGGGTGGGACTGGGCTGATGGGCATAGTCCATGGTCAATCCCAGCTGGATGTCTGGGTGTTTTTCCCCCGGTCTCTCTGAAGCATGGAAAGAAGGGGGGAGTCATCATTGTTCCAGTTCCTTCTGGACAGTTCCTTACTTTCCATTTTTCTATCCTTTGTACACCCTGTACCCCCCAACCCAGAGAGCCATAAACAGGACATTGGGGGTTAAATATGAATGAATCTTTGAGAAAGTGGGTGAGCTATAAAGGGCGTGCAGGTTAAATATTTTGCTTGAAGTTGAAAAAGCAAGGCTGTGACCAGGACTGGCCTGCTTGCTGTTCCTGAGCCAGGCTCTGCCCTGGGCTCATGGTACTAAGGGGTGCCCCGGAGGAGACCACCTGAACACATGGACACTGTTCTTGTTTTAGGAGCCCTCCAACCCCAAAACCTCCAAGTACTTTCTCTGGAAGCAATTTTTGTGTGTGACACTGTCTTTTTGCAAGTGGGTCACTGAGTACAGCATCAGGAAATGAGGCTGATTGAAGGCCAAAATAGAACGAAGCCGGTGTGGGGGAGTAGGAGATGGAGGTGTAAGGTGGACAGTGGGGTGGAGGTGGAGTTGGTAGAATTGCCCAGTGAGCTGCAGTTACTCAACAAAAGCATTCTGAGAATGAGGCTCTTACACTGAGACTGTGAAATGCCTTCCTTGGGACCCACCCTAGCTTCTACTTCCTACTGAGGTTCCCTCTTTCTGGTGGTTCTGCCCAATCTTTCTGCTCTTCCTTCTGCCTCTTGGGAGGCACTGAGCTAAGGGACCTTCCCAGATCTTTGACTTCAGGTGGGATCAAAGAATATATACTCCTTTCAAGCACTATGCTCTTCTGATTTTCTTCCCAAAGAGTCAGACTTTAACAGGGTGCTTTTCTCCTACAGTCACTTTATCCTCCAAGCCACAAGCACTGGCCACACCAAGCAAGGAGGAGCACGGGAAAAGAAAGAAGAAAGGCAAGGGACTAGGGAAGAAGAGGGACCCATGTCTTCGGAAATACAAGGACTTCTGCATCCACGGAGAATGCAAATATGTGAAGGAGCTCCGGGCTCCCTCCTGCATGTAAGTGCCCCTTCCCCAGGGCTGAATCTCACCAGCACACTTTGTCAGCCACGTGGCTGTTCCTCGTTGTCACTGTTCCTTGAATTCATAATTTCACCCAGTTTCTTCTCAACCTCTGGACGGAAGTTGGGAGGAGGGGAAATATATTTTTAGTCAGCGGAAGCCCCCTCCCCCCTATAGGATGCAATTTCCTGTGGTATGGTTTTGTGACGTGCTTTAATCCTTAGGGACATTTCCTGCTTGCCCAGAAATGAGCATGTGGCTAGGACAGCTGGCACCTGAAGGCAGGCCCTTCATTCTTGCCTGATGCCCTACTCTGGGAGGGAGAAGCCAGTAGGAAACATGGCAGAGTGGGCTTCCTGGGCAGAGTAGAGCTCCTGAGGGACGGTAGGAGGTGCATTTGGATGCATGTTGTATAGGTATGTGTATATTTGGGTTTATGTGCATGTGAGTGTGCAAATGTGGGTTGACTGTAAGGCATGGCAGGACTGTACAGAGAGAGATCATCATGGTGGCAGGTTGAGGCCTCTCTTTCTTCTACCTTACCCCAGCAAGGGCCAGGAGGTGGGGGACATGGAGAGTACTGGCCTTTGGCCATGGTGTGGGAGAACAATTCCTTTGTGCAGGGTTCACAGGAAATGGAACCTGACCCAGCAGGCATCAGCCCCCGGTCAGGCAACATCACCCCTTCCCTGGGTAGGTGTGTGGGCGGAGGGGCTCTGGGTTCCTTAGCCTCTCTCCTAAGCCAAACCCAGCAAACGGCTGCCTTGGCAACCCCTCAGGGATGACAGCACTGCCATGCTCTCTGGCAGGCATAATGTTGCCACTGTGCCTGAGGCCAATACCCTGCGTCAGGCTGCAAACATCCGTTCCCTTCCCTGTGGGGAGGCAGGCTCTGAGGGCCTTAGGGGGAGACTCTGGACAGGGCCAAGAGACTATTGTGTGTACACTGCCTCCAGCCTGTCAAGAAGGCGGCGTGCCTGCAATCCCTTCTACTGGTGATTGGTGCAGATCCCTTGGCTTTTTAAAGCTTCCTTGTTTTGTCTGATCACACATAGCAGAGTTGCCCTGTATTTGGCAGTTGGCAGACAGACCCATCACTGCCCACCATGTCCACAGTCACTTGTGCATCCTTTCCTATAACATCCTTGTCAGGAGCTTGGTATTAGAAGGCATTCTTTAAGAGTGGCATAGAAAGCCCCCATATATCCTTCCCAAGGTCTTGGGACAGGGCAGGAAATGTTCGTCTTAAATTTGTAAAATGGCATCGTTAGTACAGGGTGAAGAAGGTGACTCAAGTAGTCAAGGTGGATTGAGGCCAGGAATCTATCTATACCAGATTGGTCCTGGGCATTTTGGTGGATGCATGTGGGGCTTGCACTGTGTGGTTGAGAGGCTGTATAAGGCTGCCTTCCTGGAGAGCTGGACTCGGCTGACCACCTAAACCCAGAGAACCTGATATGGGTGCCCGGCCACCTTCCCAATGGTCCCTAGGGATAGTGATAACTATAATGATGTCATCTCTCCTTTGTCCCAGAGTTTCAGTGTTTATATATAATATGAGTTGAGCCCAGGTATGTTAAGCTCCTATTTAGTGGCAGACACTACTTTAGGAGCTGGAGAGATATAGTTTCCTGGGATTTTTCAAAAGCCCCCTGCTGAGTAGGCAGGACTTGGTACCTCTACTTGAAAGATGATGAAACTGGAGCCAGAAAATAGGAAGTAATTTGCCTGAGGTCAATAGCTAAATAAGTAGATGGAAACAAGACAGTGTCTCAGGTACCTGACTCCTAGTCCAGCATACTTTTCATGCCCTCAGGCTGCACTGGGTGTTGGCTTTCATCTTTCTTTCTTGTATCTGTCCTTATCGAATTGGAGCAGCATTTTATAAAGGGCAGAGGGCAGTTGTTGTCCTAGAGGTCTCTTATTCTTTGACTAGCCTAAGAGCACAGCAATCTGATTTGAAAACTTTACATTAGCTTCCTGGGCAGAATTTTCTTTTTCTTTTTTCTTTTCCTTTTTTTTTTTTTTTTGAGACAGAGTCTCACTCTGTCTCCCATGCTGGGGTGCAGTGGTGCGATCTCGGCTCACTGCAACCTCTGCCTCCTGGGTTCAAGCAATTCTCCTGCTTCAGCCTCCTAAGTGACTGGGACTACAGGCACCTGTCACCATGCCCAATTAATAATTTTTATATTTTTAATAGAGACGTGGTTTTGCCATGTTGGCCAGGCTGGTCTTGAACTCCTGACCTCAGGTGATCCACCTGTCTCAACCTCCCAAAGTGTGGGATTATAGGCATGAGCCACCATACCTGGCCCGTTTTTTTTTTTTTGAGATGAAGTCTCACTCTGTCACCCAGGCTGGAGTGCAGTGGCTCAATCTCGGCTCACTGCAACCTCCGCCTCCCAGATTAAAGTGATTCTCCTGCCTCAGCCTCCTGAGCAGCTGGTATTACACGCACACGCCCCCACATCTGGCTAATTTTTAAATTTTTGTGGAGATAGGGTTTCACTATGTTGGCCAGGCTGGTCTTGAACTCCTGGCCTCAAGTAATCCACCTGCCTTGGCCTCCCAAAGTTCTGGGATTACAGGTGTGAGCCACCACTTCCTAGGCAGATTTTCAGGGGGTTGATTGCATGTCTGGGAGGGCCCCGTACTGCCTCCTGCCCTTGCTACTCAGGACAAAAAGCAGCAAGAAGACAGAAATCCTGGTTTGGGGGAATGTGACGTCTGTGCACCTTCATCCGGGGATTTTTGTGGCTCTTCTTTGACTCCAGACCCAGGAACCACTAGCTCAGGTGTGTCCAGGCTGCTGTGGTGAGACTGAGGCTACCTGGCTTCCTAAACTAGCCCTCTGCAGCCACCATGAACAGGAAAACCCTTTTTGTGTCACCAGCCAAAAGTTGCCCTCAAAGAGTAGTTTCTCCTGGACATGGTGGCTCACACCTGTAACCCAGCACTTTGGGAGGCCGAAGCAGGTGAATCACCTGAGGTCAGGAGTTCGAGACCAGCCTGGCCAACATAGCGAAACCCCGTCTCTACTAAAAATACAAAAATTAGCTGGGCGTGGTGGCGGGTGCCTGTAATCTCAGCTACTAGGGAGGCTGAGGCAGGAGAATCTCTCGAACTCAGGAGGCGGAGGAGGTTGCAGTGAGCCGAGATCACGCCATTGCACTAGAGCCTGGGCAACAAGAGCAAAACTCCGTCTCAAAAAAAAAAAAAGAAAAAAAAAAAGAGTAGTTTCCTGGGATTCCTGACTGGTTGCTGACCCAGAAATTGGCTGCAGAGTTTCCTGTGGCTGGAGGAATCCTGGGGACACTTGGGCTGAGGAGGACTCAGAGCTGGAGGAGAGACAGGCTATGGGGCTCTGCTTGGCCTCACTGCCCAGGTGCTAAGAAGGACTGGCGATCCCGCTTCTCTTGGCTCCATCTGACTTGGGTACCCCATTCCTCAGGCCATGGGCAGTAACCTCTGGAGTCTGATTATGTAAAAACTCACACAATGTGGGTCTTGGCCTTTATTAACCCCTTTCATTTGTATTACCTCATTTTATGTTTTCACAATACTCTAGTGAAGTAGGTATTTCTTATCTCTGTATTTTACATGAGGAAACCAATGTTTAGAAAGGTAACGTGACTTGCCCAAAATTACCTGGCTAGAAATAGCAGCAGAACCAGTCTGGAACTCATGTACTCTGAGTCTCCTCCATCCAGACGTGTCCCCTCCACCTCCTGGGGTAAAGGTGGAGAACTCCAGATTGGAAGATGTCTCTAGATCCTAGAGGGTTCTTGCATCTGTTGTAATACAAGTTCTGGAATGGGTCACAGACATGGGTGGTAAGAATGTGTCCTAGTCTGATGGGTGGCTGGCTCTGGACAAGACACAAAATTTTGCTCCTACCCTGGGATGCTTGGAATGTACTCATTCCCCCTCCCTCTCTGGGGAAGCCAGGAGTTGTCTGCAAAGGGAGGGGGAGGTAGGTAATATTAGGATGTTTGCATTATTATCCTTTTGACTCAGGGTGGGGGTGGAGGGATTATGTAACTGAATTGCCGGACTCTGAGGCCAAACTTTATTTCCATCTTCTGAGTAACTACCTGTGGAGTTTGAGTGATGGACTGGAAGTGAAAAACAGATTCAACTTCAGCTTCCCTCCTCCCAGGAAAGCAAAGTCTCTGAAGTTATCCAGACTGCTGGGTTGAATCCTGGCTCTACCAGTCACTAGCTTTGTAACCCTGGGCGAGGTATTTAACAAAAGCTAAGCCTCAGTCCATCTTTAAAATGGGGCTAGTAACTCCTCCTTCACAGAGATGGCTTTAAATGAAATAATCCTTGTAAAGCAGTTAGCACAAAGTACTTGGCTCATGGTAAGCCTTCAATGATTGCTAGTTATTATTCTTTATTATTCAAGTTGTGAGTAATAAATTATAATAACATAGTCAGAGAGAAGGGTCAGACTGCCCCCCAGGAGCCTATCGGATATGCTTTCTTGGAGTTACCTGCAGTGTTCTGCATTGGTCAGAGTGGAAGGAATGATGAATTTGGATTCTGCCAAGACTTGTTCCTAGTCTTAGCCCTGCTGCTTCCTAGCTGTGCAACTTTTGGTGAATCACTTAATTTCTCTGACCCTTAATCTTAGCTTTTCCATCTGTAAAATGGGGTTGTACCTGCATACCAGAATGTTAGGAGGCTCAGTTGAGCTGGTAGATAAGGCTAGTGGCTTGTGAATGATAAACTGCTGTGCACAAGTGATTTTCCAGGGGTGCCTCTGCAAGTGTCCTCCATGTCCTGGCAGGATAGGGGTTGCTTTTATGCCTACATGGGCTGATGGGACAGACACATGGAGAGGCTGGGCAAGGAACTGTGGACTGTGCTGTGGGTATAGTGGGCCTGACTTACATTAATCCTGCAATGAGGTGGTTTCTCAAAGTACCCAGGAGGAACTAGGGCAGGGAGAGGCACAGGGCAGGAAGGCAAGAATGCGGTGCCACCCAGCCTGGCCCCTCTGCAACTGCTGGTTGTGGACAAATCTGTCTCTTGGAGCTTCCCTGGTGCTCTGTCCGCAGGAAGAAGGGATTCCTTGTTCTGAGGCACCAGAGAGAACACCTCCTTCCCAGAGAAGGCACAGCTCAGAAAAGAGGGCCACCAGGTTCTTGGTGCTTCCTTCAGCAGCTGGTGATCCAAAGTCCCCAGACATACAGTGCCACTGTGCCCCCTGCCTGGAGGGTAGGCACTTGTCAGGTGTGAGTGGGCAGCACACTGAGCTCAGAGTCAGTCTACAGCTACATCTTAGTTTCTGCCTTGCTGTGTGACTGTGGGAAAACTACTCCACCCTTCTGTAAAATGGGGCTCCTACCTACATCAAAGGATCTCTGGGATGCTCAGATAAAGGAAAGGATGTGAATGTTCTTCTTCAACTGTAAGCACATCTGGGTCTTTCTAAGAGCTTCAAGGAAATGCTTTGTGTTAGAAAAGGCAGTTGCCAGCTGAGTACGGTGGCTCACGCCTGTAATCCCTGCACATTGGGAGGCCGAGGCGGGTGGATCACCTGAGGTCAGAAATTTGAGACCACCCTAGTTAACATGGTGAAACTCCATCTCTACTAAAAAATTACAAAAATTAGCTGGGTGTGGTGGTGGGCACCTGTTATCCCAGCTACTCGGGAGGCTGAGTCAGGAGAATCACTTGAATCCAGGAGGTGGAGGTTGCAGCGAGCCAAGATTGCACCATTGCCCTCCAGCCTGGGTGACAGAGCAAGGCTCTGTCTTAAAAAAAGAAAAAGAAAAAGAAAAGGCAGTTGCCATGTGATTTATTTCTTGAGTGAGAAGAGCCAAGGGATTGTTTCTGACATTCTTCCATGCTCTGGCAGGGCAGCTGGGCAGAAAGATGTTACTTGATTTGTTTGGTTTGTCCTGTGATGAAAGAGGCCTGGTAGCTCAGCGTTCAGAGGCCAAAGGCCAGAGTTGAGCTCCCAAGTTGGGCCCTGCACCAAGGGGGAGCTGGAGTTAAATGAAGGAAACTTGAGAAAAACGACTCCTGGCAGAGGCACAGGGCCTATTAATAGGCTGGGCAGCGGTGGAGAGGGACTGGATGCTGGAAGCACAATGGGCAAGGCTGGGTTTATTTCTGGGTCAGAATGTTGAGGGGCCTCACTGGAGGGAGTGATACAAATCCCTGAATTCAGCCTACCAGCTCTTGTGCCCAAGCCCTCATAAGTGGTTTAACGCCTGAACACACATGTCAGAAATCAGCCACACGTGGAACATATCTAACTGAGGCCTTCAAGTCCTCCCTTGCTTTTTCCGTGCCTGGAACAGGATTCTGAGCCCAGAGAACCAGAGGAAATGGAAAAGCAGAGGGTGTCAAGTGAGGGAGGAATGCTATAGAGCCTTCAGAGGCACTTTAAAGGGTTTTATACTAGAGGAGAAGGATGGAGGATGGGCAGGGATCATGGTCAGGGATTGACAGGCTGAGGGTATGAGGAATGGGGTTTGGCTTATGCAGGTGGGCCATTGCCGAGAGAGAGGCCAAAGCACTAACTCTATCTCCTTCTTGTTTTTTCTTGAACTAGCTGCCACCCGGGTTACCATGGAGAGAGGTGTCATGGGCTGAGCCTCCCAGTGGAAAATCGCTTATATACCTATGACCATACAACTATCCTGGCCGTGGTGGCCGTGGTGCTGTCATCTGTCTGTCTGCTGGTCATCGTGGGGCTTCTCATGTTTAGGTAAGTGTTGGAGTCCCCTGCAGACTGCTTCTGCAAATCACTCCCATTCTTCCTCCTCCTGGGCCCTCTCCTTCATGATCACATGCACTTCCTTCAATCTCTCCAAATTGTGGGCTAGCTCCGGGGTGTAGGTTCTCCAAAACCCTGGTATTTCTGGCATGACATGAGTCCCGTGTCTAGAGCCCAGGGTCAAATTTGCGAGGCCATAGCAGGTTCTGCTCCTCACAGGAGTTCTTTTCCTGCCTCTGTGACCCAACTACCCACTCATGGAGTCACTTTGTCACACATTTCTTTCTCCTAGCTGTTCTTTGATGGCATTAGTATGTGGTTTGGTAGTCAAGGTGTGGGTGGTGCTAGTGGTATATCCTTCCACTCCCGAGGCATCTGGACTTCAGGCGCTGCTTCTAATCCAGGTATGCTCTAGCTCAGGGGAGACCCACCAAGCATTCTATGCCTGTTTTCAAGCAGTGTAACTCATCTGTCTTGAGACCTGGAACAAATTACTGTCTTTCTGAGGATTGTAACCTTATAGTGATCGTAATCTTTGTCCACCTACCTCATAACGATGTTGTGAGGATCACATAAATGAGGTGAAAGCTCTTTGTAAATTGCATCCTGCTGTTAGAGACAGGAGTTCCTCAGGGCAGTTGGGCCTTTGACCAGAGGTTGGGCTGCCCTACTGTGTGTGGGCTTTTCCAAGTAGTGGAGGAAACCACCATGGCAGAGTTCTTTGGAAGGACCTGCTCTGGACCTATACTTAGTCATAGCAGACAGAGATTATTCACAAAACTTATCTTCCTCAGGTACCATAGGAGAGGTGGTTATGATGTGGAAAACGAAGAGAAAGTGAAGTTGGGCATGACTAATTCCCACTGAGAGAGACTTGTGCTCAAGGTAATGCTCCATCCTTTGCCCCATGACATGATTATCCTTTGTCCCCTTTCCTGGCTCTGCTTCAGTGGGCGCTGAATTTTTCATCGAGGGGTTGGGGGCCAGGCCACTGTGACATTAATATCCCATTGCAGAACTATTTTCAAAAAGACTCTAGTGCTTCACTTAAGGTAAAAGTTGCTAGAGAGACACCTAAGAGAGATGCCTGAGAAGACAGCTTCTCCCACCCTCATCCCCTCCCTTCCCTTCTCCTCCCCTCCCCTGGGAGACAGAGCGAAACCCTGTCTCAAAAAGTTTAAAAATAAAAAAGACTGGACCAGGAAAATCTTAAGACCTCTTTAGACTGGACCTGGCTTTAAATGCCTTCCTTTTGTGCTTTAGGAATCGGCTGGGGACTGCTACCTCTGAGAAGACACAAGGTGATTTCAGACTGCAGAGGGGAAAGACATCACATCTAGCCACAAAGACTCCTTCATCCCCAGTCGCCATCTAGGATTGGGCCTCCCATAATTGCTTTGCCAAAATACCAGAGCCTTCAAGTGCCAAACCGAGTATGTCTGATGGTATCTGGGTGAGAAGAAAGCAAAAGCAAGGGACCTTCATGCCCTTCTGATTCCCCTCCACCAAGCCCCACTTCCCCTTATAAGTTTGTTTAAGCACTTACTTCTGGATTAGAATGCCGGTTAAATTCCATATGCTCCAGGATCTTTGACTGAAAAAAAAAAAAAAGAAGAAGAAGAAGAAGAGGAAGAAGAAGGAGAGCAAGAAGGAAAGATTTGTGAACTGGAAGAAAGCAACAAAGATTGAGAAGCCATGTACTCAAGTATCACCAAGGGATCTGCCATTGGGACCCTCCAGCGCTGGATTTGATGAGTTAACTGTGAAATACCACAAGCCTGAGAACTGAATTTTGGGACTTCTACCCAGATGGAAAAATAACAACTATTTTTGTTGTTGTTTGTAAATGCCTCTTAAATTATATATTTATTTTATTCTATGTATGTTAATTTATTTAGTTTTTAACAATCTAACAATAATATTTCAAGTGCCTAGACTGTTACTTTGGCAATTTCCTGGCCCTCCACTCCTCATCCCCACAATCTGGCTCAGTGCCACCCACCCTTGCCACAAAGCTGGGATGGTTCTGTGACTCATCTGTAGTAATTTATTGTCTGTCTACATTTCTGCAGATCTTCCGTGGTCAGAGTGCCACCTGGGGAGTTCTGTATGGTCAGGATGTAGGGGTTAACTTGGTCAGAGCCACTCTATGAGTTGGACTGCAGTCTTGCCTAGGCGATTTTGTCTACCGTTTGTGTTTTGAAAGCCCAAGGTGCTGATATCAAAGTGTAACAGATATCAGTGTCTCCCCGTGTCCTCTCCCTGTCAAGTCTCAGAAGAGGTTGGGCTTCCATGCCTGTAGCTTTCCTGGTTCCTCACCCCCACGGCCCCAGGCCCACAGCGTGGGAACTCACTTTCCCTTGTGTCAAGACATTTCTCTAACTCCTGCCATTCTTCTGGTGCTACTCCATGCAGGGTTCAGTGCAGCAGAGGACAGTCTGGAGAAGGTATTAGCAAAGCAAAAGGCTGAGAAGGAACAGGGAACATTGGAGCTCACTGTTCTTGGTAACTGATTACCTGCCAGTTGCTACCGAGAAGGTTGGAGGTGGGGAAGGCTTTGTATAATCCCCCCCACCTCACCAAAACGACAAAGGTATGCTGTCATGGTCCTTTCTGGAAGTTTCTGGTGCCATTTCTGAACTGTTACAACTTGTATTTCCAAACCTGGTTCATATTTATACTTTGCAATCCAAATAAAGATAACCCTTGTTCCATATCCTTTCGTCTGTTTGTTTTAACTGGGAACTGGTTTAACTTAGTTATTTCCTAAGCCCTGACTTGGTGGTAGGCTCTATACCAGGCCTATTTATGTATACTACCACAATTCTGTAATGCAGGTACTATTACTGTCCCATTTTTCCAGAAGGGGAAACTGAGGCTCAAAGTGGTTGTGTAACTTGCCTGAGGATACACAGCTAGTAAATGACAGAGCTGGGACTAGTAGTCTGGCTCCAATTATTTTGTCTTGGTACTTATACCATGCTATCTCTGAGATAAGAAAGAACAGATCTTTCACACATGTTTAGCTGGCTGTAATCAGCGAAGACATCCACCCATTCAATCAACAGGTCCTGGACTCAGGACCTGCTCCTATGCTGTACATATGAGCAGGCATTGCTTCTGGCAAGAACAAGATGTCTTTGACTCCCCTCTCTTGCTCCACAGCCAATCCATCAGCAAATCTTGTCAGCCCTACCTTTAGAATATATGCTGTATGCAACCACTTCTCATCACTGCCACTACCATCACCCAGTCCAATTTAGCATCATCTCATGCCTGCACTTTTGTGATGGCCTCTGCCTTTCTAGTTCCATCTTGCTTCCATATAACATATTTCCAGTGTAATAGCCAGAGTGATCATGTCTTTCAGATCTTGTCTGCTCTGTAGGCCTTCCCTGACCACCCTATTAAACAATAGCACATTCCTTTCCCCATCCTCCTCTTACTCTTCTTATATTGCTTTATATTTCTCCGTAGCCCTTATCACCACTAACATATTCCTGTTTGTTTATAGTCCATCTCCTATGAAAATGTTGGCTCCACGAGGGTAGGGGTGTGTATATTGCTCCTCTCCTAGATTCTAAAACAATGCAATTGAGTGGTAGGCACTCAATATTTGTTACCTGGATGAATGAATGTAGGAAATACAATTCAGTCCAAGGCCAACAAGTGGACAGACATGCAATCCAATGCTGCCCTGAAAGTGTGATTGGATTTAGAGAGGGGTCTCTGTTGGGGAATGTGGATGGTGGTGACAAGATGAAAGTGGAATTTGGGGCATGTCATGTGTCCTGGTGGATTGGACAGTCCACCAGGTGGATTGGGGCAGTGCAGTGGCATTGGACAAGTGCCACTGGGCTGCCCCTTCTCATCCTCTTCCCTTGCAGAGTTGTGACATTCTGAAGTTTCTTCAGGAGCCCGCACAGAGATCTTGTATGTACTTGGAACATCCTTTTAAGACTTTAGGGCCGGGCGCGGTGACTCAAGCCTGTAATCCCAGCACTTTGGGAGGCCGAGACGGGCGGATCACGAGGTCAGGAGATCGAGACCATCCTGGCTAACACGGTGAAACCCCGTCTCTACTAAAAAATACAAGAAAACTAGCCGGGCGAGCTGGCGGGCGCCTGTAGTCCCAGCTACTCGGGAGGCTGAGGCAGGAGAATGGCGTGAACCCGGGGGGCGGAGCTTGCAGTGAGCCGAGATTGCGCCACTGCACTCCAGCCTGGGCGACAGAGCGAGACTCCGTCTCAAAAAAAAAAAAAAAAAAAAGACTTTAGGCACTAGTAACTATTGAAGCTGAACATATGCATACGCCAGGAGTAATTCCACTCCTGGAGATTCAAGAGAAATGAGTACATGGTTCACCAGAAGAGAGGCACCAGAGGCTGGGCGCGGTGGCTCACGCCGGTAATCCCAGCACTTTAGGTGGCTGAGGCAGGTGGATCATGAGGTCAGGAGTTCGAGACCAACCTGGCCAACATGATGAAACCCCATCTCTATTAAAAATACAAAAAATTAGCCGGGCATGGTGGCATGCGCCTGTAGTCCTAGCTACTTCGGAGGCTGAGGCAGGTGAATTGCTTGAACCTGGCAGGCAGAGGTTGTAGTGAGCAGAGATCGCGCCATTGCACTCCAGCCCGGGCGACAGAGTGAGACTCTGTCAAAAAAAAAAAAAAAAAAAAAAAAGATATGCACAAGAGTAATCCTAGCATTATTTACAATAACTAAAAACTGGAAACCATCCAAATACCCATCAGTATCTGATGATAAAAATGAATAAATTGGGGATATATCTATACAGTGAAGTACTAAATAGCAATAGGAATGAGTTGCAAAACATATGGCTCAGTGAAAGAAGGCAGACTCACAAAAAAAGTATACACTGTGTGATTCCATTTACTTAAAATTTAAAAACAGGCAAAACTATGGTGAGAAAAATCAGGAAAAAGACTCCCATCATGGCCGGGTGCGGTGGCTCAAGCCTGTAATCCCAGCACTTTGGGAGGCCAAGGCGGGCGGATCACGAGGTCAGGAGATCGAGAGCATCCTGGCTAACACGGTGAAACCTTGTCTCTACTAAAAAATACAAAAACTAGCCTGGCGAGGTGGCGGGCGCCTGTAGTCCCAGCTACTCCGGAGGCTGAGGCAGGAGAATGGTGTGAACCCGGGGGGCGGAGCTTGCAGTGAGCTGAGATCTGGCCACTGCACTCCAGCCTGGGCGACAGAGCGAGACTCCGTCCCAAAAAAAAAAAAAAAAAGACTCCCATTGTGATCAGTGATGACTGATGACTGGAAGAGAGGGACTTCTGGTGTTCTGATAAGTTGTGCCATGGTTGGGATGTGGGCTACGTGAGTGTATTCACTTTGAGAAATTCACCAAATACGAATTTTTAGGGCCAGGTGTGGTGGGTCACATCTGTGATCTCAGCTCTTTGGAAGGCAGAGGCAGTAGGATCGCTTGAGCCCAGGAGTTCAAGGCCAGCCTGGGCAACATGGTGAAACCCTGTCTCTACAAAAAATAAAAAAATTAGCCAGGCCGGGCGCGGTGGCCCACGTCTGTAATCCCAGCACTTTGGGAGGCCGAGGGAGGCTAAGGCAGGAGAATCACTTGAATCCGGGAGACAGAAGTTTATAGTGATCCGAGATTGCACCATTGCATGCCAGCCTAGGCAACAGAGTAAGATTCCATCTCAAAAAAAAAAAAAAAAATTAGCCAGGCATGATGGTGTGTGCTTGTAATGCCAGCTACTTGGGAGGCTGAGGCAGGAGGATCACTTGAGCCTAGGAGGTTGAGGCTGCAGTGAGTTGTGATTGTACTACTGCACTCCAGTCTGGGTGACAGAGTGAGGCCCTGTCTCAAAAAAAAAAAGATTTAAAAAACTTGAATAGGAACTCTTTTGCTATTTGCATTGCATAAAGTTCTGTGAAGTACCAATGTATTATCTGTGGTAATCAGAGAGAATAATAAAGATATCAGAAATAACTGGAGTAGTGAGTTACTTTGAACTCTCCTGAGGCTCCCTTTCCTGCTTCCAAGCTTTCAGTCTCAAGCTCTTGTCCTGAGATAGGCTTTTCTAAGCACACTTTGTTTCTCCAGCTAATGTTTCCTGCAGGCTCAGGGCTTCCTGCCTTTCAACTGCTCTCTCCTCTGCCCCTGTTTCTCATGGGAGTTCCCCTCAGCAGAGGTCCTCTGGAGCTCCTCTGGGCATCTTCTTGGTTGATACAGTGGCCCTAGGAGCCTCTGAACCTGCAGCCATTTCTCAAGACGGGCTGTCAGAAGAAATCTGGCCCTCCCTGAGCACTAAAAAGCATCTACCTCTTCTCTCTGGGCTCCGCTTTCAGCCTCCTTTGAGAAACTTTCTTTTATAGTGTTCATAATAATCACTATTAGCTTAATAAACATTTAACATTTCATGGAATGCTCACTATGTATCGGACACTGGGCTGCACACTTTACAGGCACTACCTTATTTACATCTCAACACAACTTACTGTACTAAAGTTATAGATGCGGAAAATTGAGAAGCAATTGAGAGATGTTAAATGCACGCCTAAGGAAAGTGGTAAAAGTAGGATGTAAACTTGAGAAGCCTAATTCCCAAGCCTGCACTGTAACGACTAAGCTACACTCCTAAATGAGTTCTCTGTGCCAGAGTTGTTTTCTCTTTTCCCATATCCAGAAATAGTATGAGGGAGAAATAATATTAACAGGAACTTAATGGCTGGACACAGTGGCTCACACCTGGATTCCTAGCACTTTGGGAGGCTGAGGCAGAATAATCACTTGAGGCCAGAAGTTTGAGGCCAACCTGGCAACATAGTGAGACCCTCATCTCTACCAAAAAAATGTAAACATTAGCCTGATATGGTGGCATGTACCTGCAGTCCTAGCTACTTAGGAGGCTGAGGTGGGAGGATCCTTTGAGCGCAGGAGTTTGAGGTTGCAGTGAGCTATAATCACACCACTGCACTCTAGCCTAGGCAACAAAGCAAGACCCTATCTCTTTAAAAAAAAAAAAAAAAAAAAGAAAGAAAAAAGATCTTAGAGAGCAAGTCCTTAGAGCTCAAGGGTTTCTGGGGCCAGACACGGTGGGTCATGCCTATAATCCCAGCACTTTGGGAGGCTGAGGTGGGCAGATCATTTGAGGTCAGGAGTTTGAGACCAGGTTGGCCAACATGGTAAAACCCCGACTCTACTAAAAATACAAAAATTAGCCATGTATGGTGCTGCACTCCTGTAATCCCAGGTACCAGAGAGGCTGAGGCAGGAGAATCACTTGAATTCGGGAGGCAGAGATTGCAGAGAGCCAAGATCACACCACTGCAATCCAGCCTGGGTGACACAGCGAGACTCCATCTCAAAAAAAAAAAAAAGTGTCTTCTGTTGCCCCCAGTTAACAGATTCCTGAAAGGTGACCCAAGGGGCCTTGTCACGGGAAAGTGGAAGAAAACAGGAATGCAGGCTGACCTAAATGTGTGGCTGAATCCAGTTCCCTCTGTTATTAGGGAAGTGCCCTCACACATGACACCTAACCTCTCTGAACCTGTCTTCCTGTCTATAAAATCGAGACACTAAAATTATTTATGTTAAAGAGTTGCAAAAATTATATGTCCAGGCTGGGCGCGGTGGCTCAAGCCTGTAATCCCAGCACTTTGGGAGGCCGAGACGGGCGGATCACAAGGTCAGGAGATCGAGACCATCCTGGCTAACACGGT